GGTCAGCTGACCTCACCCATTCCCCAGTGTTTGTAGTTTATTATGCTTTTGATTAGTCAAGAAATAAATTGAGTAGGGGAGACCGGGGCTTGTTGTCACACTTTTTACACTTTTATATATTTCTTGGAAGCAAAACATCATGTCAAAAAGAAATGTGTACCAAATGGAAGTCCAAAGTCTTGGGTATATGTTTTGCAATCATGTCATTTTCAAATCTTGCATCAGTGCAGAGTTATGAGCAATCAAATAGAGAGAGTGAACATGTGACATGTTGCCCCACCACAGGGTAAGTTGTCTCACTATGGGATAAGATGTCACACTGGATTTTGCAACTAATAAGCCAAGGACAAAATTATTGTTCTGTTTTTTTACTCAAAAGTGAACTTGAGAGTTGAAGTCAAGCACAGAAAAGTGAGAATAGCAGCTTTTCTCTTTATCTCTGCTGGTTAACTTCTTTTCTTGGACCAGCTTTTGAGTAAGGCCTAATATCCTCTGGAGTTAATGTGTTTGTTGAGGTGATGGCTGGCTTGCTAGAGACTGGAATAGCTTGGTTAGTGCTTTGGCCTGGAGTAGCTGGGTCAGTCCTGGGTCCTCCTGTTTGATTTATTCGCTAGGGTCACTTGCCTGACTGCCCTCAGCATCACGTCAGGTTCTGCACTGCAATGTTCTGTTTGTCATTTTAATTCCTGACATGTCTTATTGCTTTCTGCTCTCCTTTAAACTACCCATTTTTGTCAAAATAAAGTAAAACTATTATGACAACTACTGATAAGCAGATTCTCTGTTAATTTAAAACCTTTATGAAACTTGTCATTTTGAGGTGACAACTTACCCCAAAATGACTGAYACAAGTTGCCCCAAACTACCTTAATTTGACCTCTAGCTCAAAGTTAGCTTAAAACTGAACAATGAGATATGACAGGATGCTTTAATATCTCCTCCAACAAGTCCACAAGTATCACTGTTAGGATTTTTATCTGAAAGAAGCTTATTTTAAAATATTTCAGTTGGTATTTTTTTACTTTGGGTTGTGCAAAATGGTTAATTGGTGCTCATCTCACATCACAATGTGCTAGTCTCTTCTATTGGACAAAACAACTGATCATCCAAAGGAAGAAAACTAGTAGCCTATTCCACTTTTTAGTTGCGCCCTCTGGTGGASAAGATAATTGCAATGTGACAACAAGCCCCGGTCTCCCCTACATTTAATCAGCATACCTCCAAAAAAAATTTTTTTTTCTTTAAAAAAAAAATGCTTCTGGATGATTATCAAATGTAAATGTTGCTTATGCCCCTCACCTTCTCAGTCCCACCTTTTTGTTTCTAATTTTACAGTTATTAAAAGTGATACAATTAAACTCATCTTGGCTGCTACTGTCATCATAACCATAACATGGGAGGGGGGTCTGGGGTTCTCCCCCAGAAAATTTAGAATGAAGTATGTGTTGTATTCTGCATTCTGCTATATTTGCAGGTTGTTACACATATTTTAAACTACATAAATAAACTCTTTCATAACTATTTGAGACAGATTCTTCATTCAACTCAATATATGAATCATCCTTTTTGTGTTGAATTGGACATTGGACTCTTTGACCAGCTGGTAGCCTAAGCAGTAGAGTTTTAATAGGGTTAAAAACCCACTGGTGACTGTGTCGTGGCAGCCTGCCTTCTCTTTAGAGATAGTAGTGACTATGTCAAGAGAACAAAAAATAAAGTTTCTTCTGTTGCTCTTTTTTAATAAATATAGATTGGGTTATTATTTTTATTTTACTGTCACAGCTCTTATCTTCCTTTTTATTATGGCTTGGGACTGGCAAAAAAGACACAAAGTAATTTTTTAGGCATCTATTTAAGCCATAGAAATATTTGTTAACATCCCATCATGGATCAGTCAGCAGCAGCAGTATTCATTTCATGTCTGGATGGGATGGATATCTACCTGCAGCAGGGAGAGATGCAGCGTGAGGAAGCCTCCTGTCGGTGCTCTGAGACCGGGGAGGAGGAGCTCTCAGCAGCACCCACTGTGTTCACGTCAGTCTCTAAGTCACAATAACACCAGAAAAAGAGTTGCTAGATTTTCACTAGTTGCTTTGTCTATGAATGAGTCTTCATAGGAACTTTACAAAAATCAACATTCAAAGTAAACGCTGTATCTGAAACCTGCCTTCTGTTTTGTTTTCAGTGTTGTATTTTTTGACTTGTGAATTGAAAGGTTAATAATGACCAAAATAAATAAAACTTTTTCAATCTCGGCACAAAACCTTTGGGATATTCATTTATTACATTCTTAAAAACAAAAAGACCAGTTGGGAAAAAAAAATAAAAAGTAAATTAATCATTGAAGGAAAAGGGTGCAGAAAGAAGAAAACAATCTTATATCTGCCCCTTATTAAAAACAACTTCAAGCAAACATCAACTTAAACTTTAACATTCTTCATATTAGAGATAAGAAAACCAAAAWTTGATTTGAAAACAAAAACAGCATAAAGAATCCAAGGATGGCTTCACTAAACACTACATAGCATCTTCCCTTCCTAATAAATTTGATTTAATTGTCTTTTTAAACATATAAATCATTGTGGAAGTTATGTTAGTTTCAAGAATATTCCCCAAACCTATTCCCTGAATCACAGTGCTCCACTCCATCAAACTTTGTTCGAAACGGAGGCTTTTAGAAAATCTCCATTCCCTTAAAGGTACTAGCGATTTGTTCTTTTAACAAATTTTAATTAAATATTAGAAGGTATTTTTTTTTATTTACGAGCTGTAAAATACCATAATCAGCCAAATAATAAAACTGTAATAATTTCAACTGATGAAATAATATATTTGGTGGGTGACCATAGAACTTTGATCATTCTTATTGATAGGCCTGTCACGATAACAAATTTTGCTGGGCGATTAATTGTCTCACAAATTATTGCGATAA